TAAACCTTAAAAGCAATATGTTGAGTGATAGCAGCCAGTTTTTTTTTAATGTTTTATTTATTTCTAGGAGAGAGAGAGAGCGTGAGCAGGGGAGGGTCAGAGAGAGAGGGAGTCACAGACTGAAACGGCCTCCAGGCTCTGAGCTGGCAGTCAGCACAGAGCCCGACGCGGGGCTCGAACCCACGAACCGCGAGATCAAGACCTAAGCGAAAGTCAGACGCTTAACCGACTAAGCCACCCAGGCGCCCTGATAGCAGCCAGTTTTAAAGGTGACATAGTGTATGAATATATTTACAAAATGTCCGGGGACAGGCGGTTTTACAGAGATGGAGATCAGAGCAGTGGTTGTCGAGAAGTGGCTCGAATGCCCATGGTCCTCGCTCCTGTTACATGATTTTCTCTCTCCCAGGCTCACCTATGGCCTTATGAGGAGTTCCCTATGATCAGTGGACAGAGGAAGAGAAGACTTTAGCCTGGTTTACAGATGGTTCTGTACAATATGCAGGTGCCATCCACAGGTGGAGGGAAATACTCCCAATGGGCAGAACTTAACGCAGTGCACCTGGTTGTTCACTTTGCTTGGAAGGAGAAATGGCCAGATACGTGTTTATATACTGACTCATGGGCAGTAGCCAATGGTTTGGTTGGATGGTCAAGGAACCTCTAAGGAAAATGATTGGAAAGTTGGTAACAAGAAACTTGAATGAATTCGTATATGGATAGGCCTCTCTAAATGGGAAAAAAATGTGATGATATCTGTGTCCCACGTGAATGCTCACTAAAGGGTGACCTCAGCAGAGAAGGATTTTCATACTCAAGGGGATAAAATGAACTGTTCTGTGGATACCAGCCTGCCTCTTTCCCCAGCCACACTTGCCAGTGTACCATGGGCTCATGAACAAAGTAGCCATTGTGGCAGGGATGGAGATCATGCGTGGACTCAGCAACACAGACCTCCATTTATCCAGACCAGAGTGGTTACAGCCACCACTGAGTGTCTCATCTGTCATCAGAAAAGACCAGTCTTGAGTCTTTAAAAGAAACAATTGCATTTCTGCATACTAGTATGATCATTCCAAAAGTGAAATTAAGGAAATATTTTTATCAAAAATAAACTACTTAGAATTCATCAAAACTAAAAGCTACTGCATAGCAAAGGAAACAATCAACAAACCCAAAAGGCAACCAACAGAATGGGAGAAGATATTTGCAAATGACATATTTGATAAAGGGTTAGTATACAAAATATCAAAAGAACTTATACAACTCAACATCCAAAAAACAATCCAGTGAATGGACAGAAGAGATAAACAGACACTTTTCCAAAGAAGACATCCAGATGGCTAACAGTCACATGAAAAAATGCTCAACATCACTCATCATCAGGGAAATACAAATCAAAACCACAATGAGATGGGGCACCTGGATGGCTCAGTCTGTTGAACATCTGACTTCAGCTCAGGTCATGATCTCACCACTTGTGGGTTCGAGCCCCACATCGGGCTCTGTGCTGACAGCTCAGAGCCTGGAGCCTGCTTTGGAGTCTGTGTCTCCCTCTCTCTCTGCCCCTCCCCACCCTCAAAAATGAATAAATGTTAATTTTTTTTTAAAAAACCCACAATGAGATACCTCCTCACACCTGTCATATAGCTAAAATTAAGAACTCAGGAAACAACGAATGTTGTTGAAGATGTGGAGAAAGGGGAACCCTCTTAAACTGTTGGCAGGAATGCAAACTGGCACAGCCACTCTGGAAAACTGTATGGAGGTTCCTCAAAAATTTAAAAATAGAACTACCCTACAAGCCAGCAATTGCACTACTAGGTATTTACCCAGAGGATACAAAAATAAGAATTTGACGGCATACATGCACCCCGATGTTTATAGCAGTGTTGTCAACAATAGCCAAACTCTGGAAACAGCCCAACTGTTCATTGACTGATGAATGGATAAAGAAAATGGGGGATGGATATATTACTCAGCCATAAAAAAGAATGAAATCTTGTCATTTGCAACAACATGGATGGAGCGAAAGAGTATACTAGGTGAAGTAAGTCAGTGAGGGAAGGACAAATACCATATGACTTCATTCATATGTGGAATTTAAGAAACAAATGATCATAGGGTAAGGGAAGACAGAGGAAAACCAAGAAACAGACTCTTACCAATAGAGAACAAACTGCTGGTTGACAGAGGGGAGGTGGTCAGGGGAATGACTTGGATGGATGATGGGGATCGAGTGCACGTGTTTTAATGAGTACTGGGTCTCGTATGGAAGTGTTGAATCACCATATTGTACACCAGAATCTAGTGTCACACTGTATGTTATCTAATTGGAATTTAAATTAGAAAAATTCAAAGTCTCTTTTTGTGTTTGTTTTGTTTTGAAGATTCCACATATAAGTGAAACTACATGGTCCTTGTCTTTCTGTCTGACTTATTTCACTTAATACCATACCCTTTAGGTCCATCCACGTTGTGTCAGTACAAAAAAAAATTTAATGTTTTATTTATTTTTGAGAGAGAGAGCACAAGCAGGGAAGGGGCAGGGGATGGGGGGAGGAGGGGACAGAGGATCTGAAGCAGACTCTGTGCTGTCAGCACAAAGCCCAATGTGGGGCTGGAACTCACAAACTGTGAGATCATGACCTGAACTGAAGTTGGACACTCAACTGACTGAGCCACCCAGGTGCCCCAGTACAAAAAATTTTTAAGACTCTTAAAAGTCTTAAAGGGAAGAAGTGATAAAAGAAAGTTCACCTTTTTCACAACTTATTAAGGATTGTACAGAGCCTACTGGACTGTCCTGTGTTGTTGCTGTGGTGATGATAGGAGTGGTGGTTTTCACATGAGGGCTGAGGTGTGAAGAAATGATTTGGATCTTTTAAAATAAAAGGTTTTGTGGGGATGAGCACTGGGTGTTATGTGGAAACCAACTGGACAATAAACTATTTTTTAAAAAGGTTTAAAAATTTTTTTAATGTTTATTTTTTTTATAATTTTTTAACGTCTATTTATTTTTGAGACAGAGAGAGACAGAGCATAAGCCGGGGAGGGGCAGAGAGAGAGGGAGACACAGAATCTGAAACAGGCTCCAGGCTCTGAGCTGTCAGCACAGAGCCCAACACGGGGCTCGAGCCCACGGACCACTAGATCATGACCTGAGCCGAAGTTGAACTCTTAACCAACTGAGCCACCCAGGCGCCCCAGTGTTTATTTATTTTTGAGAGAGAGACAGGGCACGAGCAGGGGAGAGGTAGAAACGGAGACACAGAATCTGAAGCAGGCTCCAGGCTCTGAGCTGTCAGCACAGAACCCACCGTGGGGCTCGAACCCACAAACCACAAGATCATGACCTAAGCCAAAGTTGGATGCTCAACTGAGAGCTACCCAGGTGCCCCTAAAATAAAAAGGTAAGTCACAGAGATGAAAAGCCCAGCATAGGGAATATAGTGAATAATATTACAATAACATTGTGTGTTGACAGATGGTGACTACATTTATCTTGGAGAGTACCCAGTAACGTATAGAACTGCAGGATCAATATGTCGTACACTTGAAACTAATATAACCTTGTAGATCAATTCCACTTCAACGATAAACGATTTTTTAATAAATGAATAAAAAACAATGCTGCTGGCTTGAAATCTGGAGTAGCGGTGGGGGCAAAGAGAAGTGGGTAGGTTTAAAAATATTCAGGAAGCAGAAGTGAGCCGATTTTGTATTGATTCTATATTGGGATTTGGGAAGAGAGAGCCTGCTATGCCTCTGACTTAGCAGGCTTAAGGTGGAACTGCTCTTCTCCTCCCAAACTTACCGGCTTCCCTCACTGCCAATCTCAGTGAGTGGATCGGCATGCTGGCACAGACTAAGCACTCATTGATTGTCTTTGGAGTGAAATAATAAATGAATAGAGTAGAAATATGGCCAAACAAAGCATTCGCCAGTGCCGGCCAAACAGCCAGTCCTAAACTCACCCTCAAGGTCGACTCAGCAGAGGACTCTCACAGTTTCTCCGTCCCTGTCACTTGATCAACTGTTTGGAAAATCGCCAGATCCCAGGTCCAGAAGAACACCCACCTTCACATCAGGCACTCCTCACCTAGAACCTGTAGTTGTGGCACAGACCGGGTTTTGCCAGGAGCGTCTTAACACGTAAATTCTTTACGTGAGGCCAATGGCAGAGTGTCCAGCCCTTATGAGCACAGGGGACGTTTGGTGTTGTAGAAACAGGGTCACAATGGCATCCAGCTGGTGGATCTATGTTCACCTTGACTTCGATCAGACACTCTTCCCACCAAACGGGTTTATTAATCCAGCCTCTCCCCTCACCCCCGCCCTCAGCCTGGCAGGCAAAAAAGACAACTGCCAGAAATACTGCAGACACCAAGTGATCAGCTTGGATATCTTATTGCCTCTCCCAAGGCTGACAAGCAGAGATCCAGAACCGCTCGTGGTTCCCGGTCCAGAGCCCAAAACCAGGAAGTGATCTGTCCCCGTGCAGATTTCCCAGAAGTAAGAATGAGATGGGGCGTGCGGAGGATGCCCCTCAGACTCAACCAACCCAGTGAACATTCCCTAGTTTTAGAAGAGAAGTGAAAGCGATAATCCAGAAGGGAAATTTGGCTGTGTGCGCAGTAGAAATTGGGGTGGAGACATTTGATGAAGTTCACTTTTTTTTTTTAACCCCCTTGTAGACGGTATCATTAGATAAACATCCTTTTCAATGATACAACCCAAGCCATTTCTGGCCCTTTTCCTGGAAAAGCTTTTTGCTGCTGTCAGTTTACAGGAACAGCAATAAGAGTCCATTTTCTGGGCATGAAGCCCAGGACTCGAAGGGAGGCTCTAGAGAACATCTGGTCCGCTTGATATATAGAAGCCAGCACTGCATGTGTGTATTTGTGTGTATGTGTTTTTCCTATGCTGACTCATGGCATTGAAGCCTTTCTGGAAACACCCCCACTTTTGTAGCCAGCCAGTTTATACACACCCCTTCAGCTCCTCCTTGTTTCAAATGTTAAGTCAAGAGGAAGAAGGAAAATAAACTCAAGAGCTGCTCTCAAGCATCCAGAATTATCTGCACCCCACCTCTTCAGAAGAGAGACTGGCCCCAGGTCTGACTCAGTCTACTACAAACCAGACCTTTCTCTTAAAGCACCAACTTTATCTGAGCCTTCAGACAAAACTGGGAGAAAAGAGTCCAGGAGCACTTTGGACTCTGCAGGAGGCAGGGGGCTGACAACTGGCAGTAAAAACAGAAAGATGGCAGACCCTGAAATTGAGCTTTTCGTGAAGGTAAGTTTTGTAGCCATAATAATGGCATATGGAATGTATTATTTCTTGACACTGGGCCTCTGATTCTAAAAAGAAGTCAGTATTTGGGATAGACATAGTTTTGTAATTATATTCCGCCTCAGAGTCCTAGATGTATGCCTGGTTGCTCTTAGATGACAACAGGGAAACATGTTCTCTGAGAAAGGCAAGGACACATGGCAGAGGGAGCACTAGACTGGCTGGGAGTCAGAACAACTAAATCGTATTCTTGATGGCTTCCTATGTAATTTTGGACACATCTCTCCTTCCCTCTGGATCTCTGTTTCTTCATCTGCATAATGAAGAAGCCTGACAAAGTTATTCTTAAGGGCTTTCTAGCTCTTGCAGTCTGTGTTTTATGAGATAGGTTTTGGAAGCCTGAATGAGGGAAGGAGAAGACCAAGCCTGGGCTGAGAGGCCCGCTCCCACACATAGCGCAGAGAGAGCTTTCTAAAACTCTCCCACAATAGATGAAGATCACAGTGGAGTCACATGGACGCTATTGGAGGAAACAGTCTGTGTGCCTGTTATGTGAGGAGGAGACATTTTAGAACGCTGTTTCCTCTTTATGGTGTGCTTTGAGTTTCTTTTTAATGTTTCAACTTTTCAGAAAAGCCCTTTGGAAAACCCCTAAAGCAGGAGAAGGGAACATGCGTTTCGAAATTAACTCATCAAGAAAAATAAATAATTTTGTATAGGTTATTGTAGTAATTACAGTTTCCAAAAACTTGGCTTATATTAACTATTTTTCCTCTCTATTTTCATTGACTTTTAGAAGTATCCAAGATGATAATAATAAACTCTCATACCATGTTTGGTCCTTTTCTAAGCACTTTACATATATTAGACATATTTACATATATTTCCTCTTTTAGTCCTAAAAACTTACATTAGTAGTGGTAGTAGTAATCACTATTATAGTAATATTGTTGTCTTCATTTCTAGATAAGTCAGCTAAGGCAATAAAGTTTAAAATTTTTTTTTTATGTTTTATTATCTATATTTGAGAGAGAAAGAGAGACAGACAGAGACAGAGCATGAGCAGGGGAGGGTCAGAGAGAGAGGGAGACACAAAATCTGAAGCAGGCTCCAGGCTCTGAGCTGTCAGCACAGAGCCTGATGCAGGGCACGAACCCTCAAACCGGGAGATCATGACCTGAGCTGAAGTCGGATGCTTAGCCGACTAAGCCACCCGGGCGCCCCTGGCAATAAAGTTTAAGTAACTTGCCTCTAAAACTGTATGCCTACTGATGGCTTACAAAGACATAAAATAAATTAAGTTTACCAAATGTTAGTTTAAACATCTGTTAGCCAAAGTAATACTTTTACAATTATTTAGAACCATTTACCTGGTTCACATATATACGCAAAGGATGTAATCAACCTGCCTTTTCAAAATTATAGGAGTCCGACCCTGGAATTCCTGCCTAGCAAAGTAATCCAAATAAGTGCTTTTCTAAGGAGCAAAGAGCTACTTCTCTTATCTCAAGACTTTAGCAAAACATGTGACTGCTCAGACATGATATAAATAAGCCTTAATTTCCTAACTGGCTTTTCATATCTACCAGTTGCAAACCAGAGGTAATATCTGTTCACAGGGTAACTAAAGTGTTCCCTTAGTCTAAACTATTCATTCAATCCGATCAAACTCCTCTAACTAGTTGTTAGCATTGATGTGTTCATCTCCAAAGACGTCCTCATATCTGGGTAGTAATCTGGATGAGAGAAGATAGTGAATCACACGTTGGATGAACAAATGTTGAATTAAGTAATAACTTTCAAGTTAAAATAACTAATCATTTATTAAGTACTTACTATATGGCAGTCACTGTGTTAAGTAGTTTATTATTAACCCTACATTATGGGTACAGAAAGTAAAGCAAAGAGTATCTAAGTGACTTTGTCCAGGGTCACATAGCTAGTGAATGGCAAGATTAGGATCCCAATTATTTAAAATAGCTATGTCTAATCTTATTCAATTGTTTTCTTTTTAAAAAATTTTTTAATGTTTCATTTACTTCTGAGAAAGAGAGAGACAGTGTGAGCAAGGGAGGGTCAGAGAGAGAGGGAGACACAGAATCTGAAACAGGCTCCAGGCTCCGAGCTGTCAGCACAGAGCCTGACGCGGGGCTCGAACCCACGAACTGTGAAATCATGACCTGAGCCCAAGTCGGTCGCTTAACCGACGGAGCCACCCAGGCGCCCCCAATTGTTTTCAATCTGGCAAATTTTTTAGTAAATTTTCCAGAATTTCTTCAGATGGAATCCTTCAGATGTAAGCGTACTTGGACGCCTGGGTGCCTTAGTCGGTTGGGCGTCGACTTCAGTTCAGGTCACGATCTCACAGTTCGAGGGTTGGAGCTCGGCGTCGGGCTCTGTGCTGACAGCTCAGAGCCTGGAGCCTGCTTCGGATTCTGTGTCTCCCTCTCTCTCTGACCCTCCCCTGCTCACGCTGTCTCTCTCTCAGAAATAAATAATAAAAAAAACATTAAAAAAATTTTTTAAAGATGTAAGCATACTTAATGACATTGCTACAAATTATAGGTTTCCTGAAAGAAACCTGAGTATCATCTGGTCCAGGTTTTTGTTTTGCTTTGCTGTAACATGTGTTCCACAGATCTCTAGAAGTTTTGTAAAAGATATGGAGATGGGGCATAAGGATTGAGAGGCATGAAAAATATTAATAAGTTTAAAAACCACTGCTCTTTATCAATAGTATCTCATTTATAGACCATGTTTTCTTTCTAAAGATTAGAGTCTGTGACTTCCCCAGCTACCTCTGGCTGTGGCTTAAAAACCCTACTGCAACTTCTTCCTCATAACATGGATGGCATGCCTACAAGAGATTAAGCACTTTCTTGTCACAATTAGAAATTTATATCACACCCCCAAAAAAGAATTTATATCACATCACCTATGTGTTGTATGTAGTCAGTGAAAACATTACCTTTCAGCTCTGAATGACCTCGGCAAGATTTATGACCAGAAACTAAGAACAAGGGGTTTTCTAACATACATTTTATTTTCTCTAAATTCAGACTTTATCTTACTGGTTTATTGTTCATTGTTAAATCGTTTTTGTGTTCTCTACGATATACTATAAAATGAAGTTTTAGTAGATTTTTACATAACGTTATAAAACCTAACATTTGGGCCAAAATTCTGAATGTAACATTTTGTCAAAGCCATTTTATCTCATACCCTAACCCCTAATCTGTAACCTCAAACAACTAACCTTGAACAGAACTCTCTGGAGAGGTCTCTGAGCAGCAATATATCAGGCACACACTGCAACCCTACCCTAGCCCTAACCCATGAACTGAGAAAGAGGACTCTAGAACACATGATAAGAAAAACTGAGAAGCAGCCTAGTTATCCTGGAGATGACTCCAAGCAATTAGGATTTGGTAGTATTTCTAAAAATGGGTGATAAGGTAAAGATAAAAACAGAAAAATCAATTGAATATCTCTTTAAAAGCATTTAGAACCTCAAATCCCCACCTTGTCACAGTTCCATAGATGGTTGCCATGTTTATTCTTACACCAGCAGAGGTCTGGGTTTTGTTTTTTTTTTTACTCACGAGAGGTCTCTGAACTGCAAAATAACACGCACATACTCTAAACCCTAACCACTAAACACTAACTTTAACCCTAACCTTAACACTAACCCTGACCCAATACTAACCCTAACCCTAACCCTCTGGAGACGTCTGTGAACTGCAAAAACACAAGGCACATAACCTAACCCTAACACTAAACCTGCTCCAGGAAAAGAAGACTGGAGTTTTATTCCCTGGTGAGATCCTGAACTGCAAAATTCCAGGCACCATACCCCGACCTTAACTCTAACCCTCACCCTTGATCTGAGAAAGCAAACACCTGAACACACAATAAGAAAACTGAGAAACAGCGCGGTTATCCTGGAAATGACCGCAAACATTTAAAAATTGGTAGTGTTTCTGAAAATGGGTGAGAAGGTAGAAATAAAAACAGAAAAATCAATTGAATATCTATTTAAAGAGTCTTTAGAGCCCCAAATCCCCTCCTTGCCTCAGCTCGTATGGTTGCCATGTTAAGTCTCACCCCAGCCAAACTCTGAGGTTTTATTCTCAGGAGAGGTCTCTGAACAGCAGGATACCAGGCACGTGCCCTAACCCTAACCCTAACCCCAGCAGAATTCTGGGATTTTATTCTCTGGAGAGGTCTCTGAACTGCAAAACACAAGGTACATACGCTAACCCTAACAGCAAGGAAAACAAAACAAAACAAAACATTTTATCAATGTGGAAAAGAAAAAAAGATTATACTTTTCTCTGAATTATTGGACCATTTTCAAACTCTTAAAACTATCATAAAGACTCTCATAAAGACTGATTAATTTTTTGAATCCAACAAAACTATTAGATGGTAGAAAACAGTGTTTAAGAATCTGGGTTCTGAATTTGCTACATGAGAAGAGTATATACTCATCGGCTCTTGTCTAACTGACTGTACTTGAGCAAATAAGCTTCTCTGAGCCTCAGTTTACTCACCTGTAAAACAAGAGTAATAACGAACCTATATCATGGGATCATCTTTACCATAAGATTTAATAAAACAAATCTTTCAAAGACAGTAGTTGTTAACATAGTAAACATTCAATAAATGTCAGATATTGTGGCTATTATTTTTTTCATGTTTAGAAACTTAAATCATAAACACAAAAAGAAAAAGTTGTTTTTGTGGATGACCATATTCTGTCCTTGCCAGCTAAATATACTTAAGAGGTGGTAATTCATCAATCAGGCTAAGGAATTTACATCCTAAAAATTTTTGTGATGGTACTTTAAATCTGCATATTATAAACGGGGGGGGGGATTCAGTTTTCCTGTAAACTTGACTGCATTTCCCCCACACCTCAGTGTTTCGCCTTTCCTTTTGCCAAAGGTGATCCACCCTTCCTGCTGTATCTATTATCAGACTCCATTCTTCTTCCTGCTTCC